CGTTGTGATAAATATGGCAACAAAGATGAGGATGATAGTCCGAGCAATGTAAATAGTGTATCTATTCTTTGTATTAAATTCAATGGCTGGTGGTGGACATCTTTTTTGTTCAGCTTAACCTTCTCTCTAATTTAATATCAATATGACAATTTGATTCTTAGTGACATCAAAAAAAAAAAAAAATAAAAAAAAAAATGACTCATTTATTCACAATACATTGTAGAAAATATTTAGATGTACATTTTTTATTCAATAAATTAAAAACAAAATTCAAATGACTTATCTGGTACATTTTTAATTCTATTTGATCTTTTTTTTTTCTTTGTATGATTTTATTTGACTTTTTCATTTTCTTTCCTTTCAGACCTCCAAATCCTATTGAGTATCTTGCTACATATTTGTTAAAGAACAAGACTCAGTATGAGAACTAGTAACTCAATTTGGTGATCATCATTGATTTAATGATGTAAGCATGTAAATAATTTTGTACAAAACTCACATTTGGGTTTTTCTGTCAATAAAAATTATAATGAAAAAAAAAAGAATAAAAAAAAAAAAAAAACAAAACTGTGCAGCATTAAGTAATTCATTTTCTTCATTGTTTGGAGATCATAATATCTTGGAACCAAAACATAAAATAGATTTTAATAAATAATTAACCCAAAATTGGTTTGTGAACTTCATTCAAGCTTTCAAATTAATAAAAAAAAAAAAAATTAAAAAGAAATGTAAATTTTATTTTATTTTTTTATCATGTGCTGTTGTTGCTATTCATTTGAATTGGTTTATGAAAATTAAAAACTCTTTGTTGCATGGATTTATGCCTGGATTATTCTAGCTTGAGAGTAAAAAACAACCCCAAAGAAATCATGCACACCATTTTAGAAGGTAATGATAATATTAGTTGTTTCTTTATAAAGAAATATTTAGCGGTCACTGACTGAACAATCTAGTGTTACTCATGTTATGCTTTTCATTATTCTCTGGTCATTGGATCAAAGTAATAATATCTGTTCTCATTTCTAATGTTAATGGTAGTATTAGCTGTTATCTTATATGGAAACATTTGAATTCATTGACTGAGCAGCCAGTGCTACTTGAGTTACACTTTTCTTCACTCTCCGACCATAAGGCTGATATCAAAGTGTAGTAGCTGTTCTCATCTCTAATGGTCAGGATGGTAGCATCTGTTATAATCCTTTCTATGGGCAAATACTAAACCCCCAAAGTGGTGTCAAAACATGAAAATATAAAAATATACTAGAAAAAATTAGCAGCAATACATTTTCTTAGTTTAAAAAAAAAAAATTATCAGCAATACATTTTCTTAGTTTCAAAAAAAAAAAAAAAAATTAGCAGCAATACATTGTCTTAGTTAAAAAAACAAAAACACCAAAGCTGACAAGAGAATAAAATTTTAGCATTAAATGACCCATAAGGAGTTGATATGCTGTTAAACAAATCAATCCATAAAAACAAACATTTGGCATTCATTCACTAAGCAGAAAATGGTGATGTTGGTTGAAATTTATAAAATCTTTATTAAAATAATTTTTCAGGAAAATTATTTTCTTAAGTCCACTATTATCAATCTTTCCAGTACTAAAGGGGGTTTCCTTCCTAACCTTTTATCTGAAGTAGTGTGAACTTACCTCAACATCTTTCATGTGATATCAATTTTAGTTGTTGCTGCTGTTGGAAGTCCTCAAGTGAGTCTTGCTAAAGAAACTAAGCTAACTGTTGAATGTTAAGTGTTTTACTGTTGTATTTCTTCAGGACTTATGAGAATTTGGTAACAAGATTCTTCTTAAACATTACGTTTATTTATTTTGATCTTTATAATATTGACTTAAAAAAAAAAATTGGAGAATTTAAATCATCAATTTGTTTTGTTTTGTCAAACAGAAACACCATTTACAAAGTCTGCTCTGAATCGTAAAATGAAAGCAATATAACTATAACATTAGAAAAAGCTTTTAATTGCCTTTATAAATAAGATATATTAATGACACTATTGTGCTGTTATTGTCTTTGTGATGATCGGTGATATGACATGGCCCTGGTCTTAGATTTATGGTTGAGAACGGCAATACATTTCAAAGAAATTTTCAATGAATAATGAATTTTTTACAAGAATTGTTTATATTTTTTTTAAAATTTAAGTTTTAAAACTTTTAAAAACTATTAATTTCAGCTTTTTAGATGTTATTCTTAAATGAAAACTACATTTACTAATCATAAATGGAAAAGCTTAATACAAATCATCAAACCAATATTTTTTAAAAAAATTTTGAATTTTTCAAAAATTATAAGAAAATAAGAGTGATAACTATAATTTAAAACCAAAATTTCTAAAATTCAATAAGACATTAGATTACAGAGAATATTTTCGTAAACTTTTTAGATAACTGAGTACTTAAAAATTATATAAAAAAAAGTCATGTCATTTTCTTCAATTATGTTTTACAGATAAAGTCTCCATAGAACAACATTAGATCTGTCATCAGGCTGTCAACACAGTTGCTCATTCGTTAAAAAATGCATTTCTGCAATATTTAAAAAAAAAAGTAAATAATATTTGTTTCAAATCAGATTAGTTATACATTAAATTTGCTAATATTTTTTAAATAAAGTTTTAGTGCTAATCAGCTATTCTAGCAAAAATAAAAAAAAAACCCTTCCAGTTAATTTAAATTAGGTTGTGAAATACAGCAAAGTATTTTGCTTATTGGAAATATAAAATTTAATCCTAACTTGAAATTAAAGCTAAAATAAAAGCTTTGAGATTTTCATTTTTAAAAACTCATTTTAAATCTTAGGTATTGATTTTTTAGTGGAGGTCCCTGATAATATATATATATATATATATATATATATATATATATATATATTATAGTCTTGTGTGCTATATTTATGGGGTAAAGTGCTCAATATCAGGGATAGAGCGTGTGTAAATATAAAAAAATAGGCTTAGGCGACAGGCTATTTCATGCTAGGTGCAATCATCAGGCCTGATGATTGCGCCTAGCATGAAATAGCCCTAGGTGTTGACTTCAGTGTTTACTTATATATATATATATATATATAAATATATAAATAAGCTGTTGGGGTTTAGATTCTTAAATCAGCTGACTCCAAGTAGATCTTTCTTTTTCCTCTACTTGTTCGTATACTGCATTGTGCTGTTATTGTCTTTGTGATGATCGGTGATATGACATGGCCCTGGTCTTAGATTTATGGTTTAGAATGGCAATACATTTCAATGCATTTTCTGTTCTCTTCTGATTAGATGAGCATTTTTTAAAATCAAAACTGTGGTCAGATGTTTTACAATGAACCGCCAGTGTGCTTAGATTGTTATTATGCAGAATAAATGCTCTTAGAATTTGTAACCTCCAATTTCTGCTTGAAGAGAAATACATTAAAAAGATCTTCAAACTACTGCAATACCCAAATTATTTACAATACAATACCAAACGCAAAGCCTACAGAATACACAAATACTAATAAACAATACACACACACATAAATCTCATTGAATAATTTAGACAAGTTTTGTCTACTTATTTTCAGTAGGATCCTCTCATTCATGGACAAGCTTGTTAATATCCTTATTAAAGGAAGAGAGAAAATTACTGTGTTGATACATATTTCTTCAGAGTACTTTTGGTACAATGTCATTGTCAGGGTGTTGTTTTTTTTCTAGAAAATATTGGACAAGAATATGTGAAATAACCAATGATGACAAGAAAACAAAAGTTGAAAAAATAAAAAAAATCTTTATTAACATTTGCATGAATTGTCAATGATAAATAGGGAAATTGCAAGCAATGTTTATTTGTTTATTTTTTAATTAAATAATGTCATTTTGATTTGTAGCCCTTTGATAGCAATGAGCAAGTGCGACCTGAGAGATAGGCCCACAAGAATTAAGAATGGATTAAAAAAACTTTCACAGCATACCTCTTTCAGACTGTTCAACTTGTGCACAACACTTAGAAAGACAGAAGGAATGTTTCTACAGCAGATGATATTTAGGGCTTTCAGGTTGTTAAGAGTGAGACCAAATATTTTGGAATGATTGGGTTAATCTCTGAAGGCATTCAAAGTAAGCTTGAACCTCACTAGGTGGTATAATTATTGTGCCCTTGTGCAAGATTGAGTTTAATAGATATCTACGTTTGCAGGGTCTGGAAGGTAGACTCTTTGTTTTGAGTGACAAACACTTGTACCATAAACTGGCTGACTGGTTTAACAGGGATTTCTTGTTTAAGGGAGTTGGAATAAACAGAATAGAACTCGTAGCTGGAATTGATCTCCAGGCAAATTGACTTTGTCAAGAGTATTGGGTACTTGGTACAAGATTTTGATTCAAAGATATTTATGCACCACAAAATTTTTTTTTTTTTTTTTTTTTTTTTTTTAGTGTATGTTTGAGACATTTGATAACTTTTCTTTTTTTCTTGGGTTAAGTGTTTGCTAAGCCTGGCACAATCACACAAGTGTGGGTCACCTTGTGAAATTCAAGCTCCCTGCCATGTTAATGGTAAAAGAAATACAAATAAATATGTGTAAAGTTTTGTACAGGGTGAAATGTGGAGGAAGGTTTTGTTGCACCAACCTTCCAAGAGGATGAATGAACTGTTTCGAAATGAACGTTTGAAATTTCAGTTTTTACTTTGATTCAAACGCCATCCACTAGCACAAAGCAGCAAATATATAGCTCCAGGCCATCGAAAATGTCCCAAATATATATATATATATATGTGTGTACTAAATTTGGTATGTAATCCTGAGAGAGTTATAAGTCATTAACATTTAGAAAAACGTTCATTTTCAAAACATACTTTCATGAACGTCTTTCTACATGTCAATAACTAATATATAATGATAAATATTGGGACACAAAATAAAAAGGTCTATTCTGTCTTATGCCAGTGGTATTAAATTGTTCTCTGTTTTTATATATTTTTAATACAAAGATGTATTAAGTTTTCTATCTAAGTTTTCTGTTTGGATTTTTTCTTTGATTTTCCTGTGTTGGGTTTTGTATTTTGGTTCTGTTTGATCAGCCCACTAAGAACAGCTATTGCACCAACAAGTCCGTCTCCATTCACGGCACAGCATCCTTGGACAAACCAGCTATGTCCTTGTAGAATCTCTCTAAGACAAAGATGATCAGAAAGAACTGATGAAGACATAGAACCTGTGAAATAAAAACAAAACTCTTTTAGTACAAACAAAAACTATTTTACGGGTTTGTTATTTGATTTTTTTCTGTTTAATCGTAATTCTTAATTTAATGATTGAAGAAGCTCGTTGTGAGTTCTACGGCTATAAAATAACCGTGCAAATTCCCTTATTGCATCGTTCAATATTTTAACTTAACAACTTTAAGAAAATATTGCGATAACAATCACCAGTATGAATGTAGGTCATTATTAAAAAAAATAAGTGGTTAATGAAAAGATTTGAAATTTAAAAGATTTTCTGTTTCACTGAAGCAGTCATTAAAAACATGAGAGCATTATCCTCTCCTCTATATCCTCACTCTTTCTTTCTTATTCTCACTGAAACTAAAACAATGTCTCTGTTATATATTTTCCGTCTTTCCTTATGATCAAAATGGAATAGTCCATTAATTATGAGGTATTGGCAGGACGTAACGGTCGTGCGAACCAACTACAGAACAAACAATTATAATGTGATATTTGTTACTTCAAAGTCTAAAAAGGCATTTATAGTGAACATGCTAAGCACTCAGACTGTTATGGCCAGTGAGTTGGATCTTCATCTGGTGGCTCCCAGTAATGACCTTGTCCCAGATTAAATTTTGTAAATGTTTACTCTTGCAGTCTCTGCTTGAAGTATGGGGAAGGCTGCAAGCAAGCCAATAATGCTGCTGTAGTTTTAATAAGGAAGCAAATTTTACGAGGTGATGTGCTTGCCCAACACCCAAGATAGACTGCCTAAAGGGCGCTAACTCTTCTATTTACCTGTAGCTGGAGAAAGAAGTGGTTTCATGCCTTTTGCAAAAAGTATCGGTACGATAAGAATATTAACTGTCTCAACTGGAATTTGAACTAATTTCTCAGATTACATATTCTGTGCTGTCAACTGTGAGCTCACTTTCTTTCTAAAGTCAATAGATGCTTACAAAGGCATCGTCTATAAGCTTTTAGGTTTGTCTCACTATCGGCACTTGCTTCAGATGCTATTTTATACATCCGGCAAACATCTGTCAATATGGAAAAAGCAAAGACAAAACTATACTTAATCAGTCCATTCTTATAAAAATCATATATATATATATATATATATATATATATATATATATATATAAGCGTTTCACCCCAAGCAAGAGGGGATGCCACTAGCACGCAAGGGGTTATAGAGAGTTGGAGCGAGAGCAAAGAGGATTGATAGAGGAAAGTAAGTGTGAAGAGAACGATAGGGGATAGATCAAGGCATCTGGAGACGTCGATTGACATTACATTTGAATAGTTGATTATAGCTTTCAGGGAAACAGGGAAAGGGGAGGGAGTTCCACAGTCGAGACATAAAGCTATTGAAGTAGAAGTGACGGCCACATTCAACAGTCTCGACAGTGAAAGGGTGTGAGCGATATATATATATATATATATATTTAAAGATATTTTGTAGGTACAAAATTTAATGATCGAAATAAAAGTATAAAATTTAATATTACAAGACATATTAAACAATATTAAATAATAAAAATAATTATTATTAAATATTAATAATAAAAAATTATTATTAAATATTAATAATAAAAATTTTATACTTTTATTTCGATCATATATATATATATATATATATATATATATATATACAATTTAAGGACTTCGTTGCTATACTCATAGTTGATTTTATTTACTTTGGGCTTTAACTCTCTTATATAATGGACTTCAGTTTATATATATATATATATATATATATATATATATATATATAAACAATTATCCTAAGCTCGTCACACAGAGCATTATAACTGCAGTGAGTTTGATCTTTGCCGAGTACAACATACTTTCATAGTCTTATGTCATACTAAGATAACTTTAGTCAATGTCTATCCATTAACCTGCCTTATGGCTTAGGTAGTTATGTATTTTCTACTATTGCACCTGTCAGTTAAGAATTAGACAACTTACCTGGAATATCTTGTTTGTTGGCCAAAATCACAATGGGAACAGTTTTCATTTGGGGATGTTTAAGAATGTTTATCAGTTCGCATCGATTTTCATTCAGACGAACTCGGTCGCTGCTATCGACAACATAAATTAAACCTGTAATAAAGAGACATACAATTAGTATTTCTTAAAGCAGCCATTGGATATTTGGTATCAGGTATCGAGAGAAAGTTTTTGTCAGTATTAAAATGAAATTGGCTCGGATGTGATGTTGCTGGTAAATGTTAAAAAAGCAGAAAAAACCACCCACTTTTCGTAACATATAATTTAAGTGCATTACTAGATTGGCGGCAAGGTCTCATCATTTTATTGTTGAAATGGCTAGATGTAACCGTAAGTTCTATGCTAAGAGTTCCTTCTATCGTACTTCTCACTTGTGGAACTCTCTTCCGGCCTTTTGCTTTTCAGTCAACTTTGATCTTCAAAAATTTAAATGCAATGTCAATCGTTATCTCTTGTCTTCTAAATTCTTATCCTTTTATTGTCTTCTCTTCTCAATACTATATTTTTCATCTAACACTTAGTAACCACTTTGCGTCTTAGTGGCTTTATTGCCTTGCTTGGGGTGAAATAGAAAAAAGAAAATGTGCTTTTAAAAAATAATAATAGCTATTTACAAAGCACACACACACACATAGTACAGGTAATCGATCCGTTGGTATATAATCCGGGTGGATCCTAGTAATATTAATTATTAAAACTCATCCATAGAGAGCTCGATGCTTTTATTTTAACAGAGCATATGTATTTTTTAAAAAGAAAAAAAATTACCTCAACATAGGTATAGTCTATACATCTATATATATCTATATACACGGCTATCATCAGCCTCTAAGTGCTTGTCTCGGAGCATTGTTCTAAATTTATTTTCAAAGTCAGTCCTCTCTCTCTCTCTCTCTATATATATATATATATATATATATATATATATATAATTTGATATATTTATAGGGGAAGAGTGCTCAATATCTAAGAATGTTTATAGATATAGACAGTGTAGACTCAGGAATTAACATTGGATGGCGACTGTCAGTTTCATGGTTAAATATAATCTTCAGGCCGTATGGATGTGCAGGCAGTGTAATGAATAGCAGATCAGAATGAGAAATCCGAGAATTTGTATCAAAGCTGAGTTTTTACTCATGCGCAAATATTCTTGGGAAAAAGTATGGGCTTATTTCTTGATCTTCCCCTATCTATGGGTTAAATAGTAAGGTAGAAATGATTCCATAGGTTTGGTTGGAAACCAGTCAAGGAAAAGGACAACTCTGATTTCGGAATCTGCTTGTAGATCTTGTGGCGCCAGTTCTCTGTTTTCAGTTCAGAGGGGGAAAAAATTGAAAATAAATAATAGACGTTGTTTGTACAAAATTTTATTGTCCATGCTTCTCAACTTGTAGGCCCTTGCATTGATGTCCACTTCAGCTTATTTTTAGAGGCAAAACAAAACAAATGCTTCAAAATAAAAATAGACGCACCTAATATCATGCACAGCCTTTGATAAATGCTTAAAGCAAACACGTTCCATCATCTCGATTTTAAGTGCCTTGCCTTATTTGGCATTATAAGAGTAATTTTTCTGAGAGATCGAGAAAGACATAAGTAGATCCGGAAAACACGTTAGGTGTCTTGCAAGAGGATCTTTGTATGATATCCATTAGGCATTATTATAGCGACTGAATAAAATAATGGATACACGTATATAAAAGTTCATTGTAGAATAGTAAGCCGGAACTTGTGAGTTGTTCGTCATTGATTCCAAAGTCACTCGCTGACGATGTCAAACAATAGTCTTCCTGTGGATATCCTCCTTCGAACAAAAAAATACATTGTAATTTAAATCCGGGAAGAAAATCCGTGGCTAATATAGAAAGCATGGAGGGCGTAAATTGTAGGAATGGCGGATATCTACATCCGATGAGATATGAACCAAGTTTAATTTAGTATGGCAAAATGTCATTATAAAAGTGCGCCTAGTTATGTCTGAAGTGTCTGTCAGACTAGCTTGTAAGCGTTTATAATATTTACATTATTGAAGCCGTCTATAAATAATATATTTTACACTTTTTTTTGCAGATCAAAGAAAAAACTTTAAAAAAAATTTTATAAATGAATGCATAAAATTTAAATGTTATATTTTAAAATGAATAAAAAACAAATAAACAAACATGGAAATTACAAAGAAACATTTTCAGATCCTTTAATTCTTTGTTTGGCTTCAGAAAGGCATCTTTCGCTGTTCCTAAGCATTTTCGGATTTCTGTGCCACATTTTACATTTTATCTACCCAGATAGTTAAATTTCCGTACATGTTTATTTTTGACATCCCCGACGTGTAACTCGTACGTTGGATGTCTCTTTTGCTGACAGCCATACATTCTGTGGCGGTGAGGGCAGTCAAGTGTGACAGCAACAACATTAGGTTTAAAACTTCGTTAAAAACAAAGAAAAGTGTACTGAACTGTTACGTAATATCAGTCCTCCTATATGGCAGCGAATGCATGGCTATCTCCTCAAAGATGAAGAAAAAACTTGAAGACACAGAAATGTAGTTCTACAGAAGGATGCTGAGGATAACATATGAGCGACGTTGATGTTTTAGAGAAAATTGAAGCAAAAAGGAAACTTAGTTAACATTAGGAAGCAACAGTTGAAATTTCTAGGGTACATAACGAGGAAGGAAGGCTTGGAAAATTAGATACTCACAGGACAGATTGATGGCAAGAAGAACTGAGGAAAACAGCGTATAACAAATTTAACGAGTTTAAGTAAATAAATGGCGGAACAGGGTTTAGGAGAAATAACGAAAAGACAAAATTTATTAAGAGCTTACAAAGGATAGGAAATTGTGGAAAACCTTGATCGCCTACGTCTTGAAAGGATACGGCACACAAAGAAGGTTTAACGCTTCAAGTACTAAGTTGCAAGTGGGTTTGATTTGTGGGTTTAAGCATTGATTCGTAATATAGTAGTTGTGAGTTCAATCCCTAACTTCGACTTAGTGGAAACAGGGTGAGCAATAAGAACGAAACGATATGTCTCTGGAGGAACAGCGAAACGAGAACAAAAATATGAACGAGACGAGATATCCGTAGAGAAACGAGAACAAAAATAAAGAGTTCAGTTAATATTTTAGTTCTTTTTGCCTAATCTACCTTTCTGTAATCTAAGTCTGGCGGATTTTAATTAACCCGCTCTCTAATAAATAGGACGCCATGTACTAATAGGCTAATTTATTTATTTTCGTCTATCGGTCTGAATATTCGAGAAATCTTATTAACGAAAAATATGCACTCCCCGGCAGGATTTGAACCTGCGTCTCTTCTTGGTAGTAGAAACCGTCGCTAGATCCGACGTGCTTATACCGACTCAGTCACGAAGGACATTTACCGATTAAGCCGGGCTGAATAGTGCCTTTAAGCGACATCTTTCTCGTCAGAGATTCTCGAAATTTCATCTGTTTAGTTTCGTATCCAAACGTGAAGAAGGTGATTTCTAAAGAAGTAATGGAATTTTTTATTTATTAATCCGACAGATTTTATCACAGTGAACGTTATTTGGGTGGGGGATACCGATATATGGGTAGACGCCCCGTTTATTTATTAAACGGTATATTTATTTATTTTCGTCTACCGACCTGAATATTCGAGAAATCTTTTTAAATCTTATCAAATATAAGTACCCACCAAAATAACGTTTGAAGGGATAAAATCTGTCAATCCAAGAAACTTCGTAATTGTTAAGCCAAGGGGGTGACCCCAAAACTTTTGACCTTTACTGTAAATAATAATAATAATAATAATAACAATAATAATAACAACAACAACGACAATAATAATAATGAGGAAGGTCCTGAAGAATTAAGGGGATTTTTATTTGAATCTCCAGCGCCAAGCAACATCCATTTCAGGTGAATGTTTAAATTATTAATATACAAATGATAATGGGGATTGTTACACAGAATAAGAAATTTTATCACAATTTCTATAAAAATGAAATATATAAAAATACTAGGACATTGCCCGGGGACAGAAAATGTTGTAGAGCATGAAGATGAGACTCCATAATGACTGGCTTCCGGGCGAATTGTTACAAAGACTCTCGAGAAGAGCTTGGTGTAGGTGGATAAGTTTGAGGGAGGGTTGAAGTTATTCAACCACGACAGTGTTGAGTTTTCGAAAGAGTGTTGAAGAAGGAACTGTATATTTTGGGAGACTACTTTCGATTGTTGATTGATTTTTTTTTTTACGGTATATCAACTCTTTGTGAGTTATTAAAGGCCGAAAAATATTTTTTGAGCGAATATAAGAATATTTTTTGGCGAGTGAATATTGCATTAACAATATTTTTGAAAATACCAATGATTTCTGCAGATACATATCCAACTATTTAATCCATAGCTGGGGAGTAGATGGATTCATATCTTTCACCAAGGGTATTTGTGCATGTAACGAATCTGACTGGAATTCGAACTCGTCTCTTCGATTTCTCATTCTGAGTCGCTATCCATTACACCACCCGCACATCCACTGATTACTCTTCGAGTCCTCGTGACAAGCATCAGATACCTAAATGCAGGATCATCATTATCATCATTAATAATGATAATCAGTAATAATGGTAATAATACAGCAAAAGAACTCTTCTCACTATTATTACTAAAATAAAAACTAGAATTAACGGAACACGTAATCCTAAAACGAGAAGATAAAATAGAAGAAAAACTAATGTACAAGCATTTCAAGAGAGAAATTAAATGAGCTGCAAGTCAGAGCAGATGGTCGCGAAGAGGTCATATGAAGAAGGAAATTAAATTTTTATTTATGGCAACCAAAACAATGCTATTAGCATCCGTTATATAAAGGCCAATATAAAAAAAAAGTTCGGGGTGGGGGTGGTGGAGAGATGATGCCATCAATCAGAAATACACAATTTGCAGTGTACGATGGCCAAAAATTTGTACAGATGACGATCAAAATTTAGAAATGTTTAAAAAAAATTATACCAGGTTTAAAATTAAAAAAATATCCATATAATCAATGTGTGCGTGTGTGTGTGTGCATATATATATATATATATATATATATATATATATATATATATATATATATATATATCAGCAAACAAGAAATTAAATTCTTTGATACAAAGATAAACCCAATGAAGAATATATATATATATATATATATATATATATATATATATATATATTGAGTGTTGAAGAAGGAACTGTAGATTTTGAGAGATTACTTTCGATTGTTGGTAGATTGATTGATTTGGGTTTTTACAGTTTATCAACTAATTTCGTTTCTGGTCATAGTATGATTTATTCGAAAATTATAACATAAATATGTTATAAAATAACTACAAAAATAGCCATTTTGTTTCAACACTTCTGGTGTCTTATTAAGTGATGGTGTTGAATGTAATGGGTTTTAAAAGGTTCAAATCAATCAAACATCCCTCGCTAGGGGAAACGCTGTTACATAAGCTGCAATGACCAATCAAAATACAAGTATATGGGAATTCAAAAAACTTGACTACGAACCTTTGTTATAATAATTTTTGCTTTAATGTTAGGGTTAGACTAAAATAGAAATCATTCTAACTAATATTAAATTTTACTATATTCTTCGTTGTCTTTATCTCGTATCGAAGAATTTGATCGCTTCCTTTATGGTGATGGCGTTGACTTAATTCGCCGCCAACCTGCAGTTTCAGGATCAGAAGCTTCCAATTTTATCAAAACCTGCTCTCGTCATTCATTTCCTATCGCCGTTTGGCTTTGCAAGAGTTGGTTGGAAGTGAAAGAAAATCAGAGTAAAACAATATGCCAATGGCGTGAATTTGTTTAAGGTGGGCCTTGACTTGCCAAGATGTGACCCGCATACACGATTTCACGACTTTTCTCTGTGACACATATAGAACATGCAGAATCCAGTTATATAGGAGGACTGATATCACGTATGAGTTCAGTACTCTTTTCTTTGAATAATAATAATAATATTTTTGCATATTCAACCAGATGTCTGGGGATTACCATCAAAGATTAGTTCGCAATAATTCTCCTCAAAACTCGGTATCCTTGCGGACCCCGATGCCGGTGTCCGTACAGACTCAGCTCTTTTCCGAGACCGATTCCATTGTTTTTTAGCACGACTCCAAGTGTGCCAGCTATGGTAGGCACGACATTTATTTGTATTTACTGAGATGGAGATCAAGTGGGAACAAGTTTCCTCAGCATTGGAACAATCCTTCGACACCGAGCAGGAATGATGGTAAGACTGAAATCAAGATCATTCAGACGAAAGCATTTCTAAAATGAGTTAGAATACTGAAGTAAAAGCCATCGGTTACAACCGGTGTGAAAACCTAATGGGTGAAAAAGAAATTAATAATTACCTTGACAATTCTCATAGTAGTAAGTCCAAAGCGATCGTATCTTTTTCTGGCCGCCAACATCCCAAATGACGAAGCTGTTCCCTTCGCTGACGATTTTCTCCACATTAAACCCCAGAGTTGGTACTGATAGCATATGTTGGTCTGTTTTCAGGCGATACAGCATTGTGGTCTTACCTGCAATAGAAAGATGGAGAAAAAAAATGACTGGAACGTTCACTCAGTAAGTGTTAAAAAAAAAAAAGAAAAGACTTTCCTCAGTAGAGTTTTTACTCAAACAAAACATTGCTAACAAATCTATTGAAGAAACGACATTCTAATCTAAATATCAGACGAATTGTGGGTAACAGAATTAGAAAATGGGCGAAAAAAAAAAAAAAAAAAATCACACGGGACGCGTTTCACCTCACAAAAAAGATTTCGTGTGTATGTTGGTAGGATGTAGAATCCGAACAAGATGTTTCGATAAAGTGGAAACTGTTTTATAGATTACGCGATTCTCTTTCGTTAGATAGGCGACTTTTGGGTCCGAATGAAAGAAAGCCGTGTGTATTTTATTGTGTTTTATATATATATATATATATATATATATATATATATATATATATATACCGGGTGTAACAGCAAAATTGTTCAAATCGTGTAAAAAGCAAAATTGTCTATTTTGTCGATTAAGTTTGAACCACTGTATCAGACAAATGATTAAAGATATCTTACTGGAATTCTCTGAGGTTTTTATAATACTATTGGACTCTACTTTGCGCAATAAGAATGTATAATTACTCTCCAAGCTTAACAGAAGAATCGTGATGAAATCGATCATAAACGAAAATGATATGTTCATCATTAACTAATAATAGGTAAGGATCGAAAGCTCATGAAGGATTGAAATAAACTTCAAATATATATATTATTCTAGGATCACTTTCCAGTTTATTCAAGATGATCTTCGCCCTCTCTAACCTTCTAAATTTCTGTCTTGAGTAACAAGGTGCCTCACACTTTTCACGTACGATTTAATTTTCAAGTCTTTTTTTTCACTGCACTTTGGACTGTCATAGCTGAAACTCCTCTTTCACGTGTCAAATATCTTATGAATTGAGTTTTTATATATATATATATATATATATATATATATATATATATATATATATATATAAAAAATATGTTGTAGTGGTTCCAACGAGAGAAAAGTATGTATATTAAAAAGAAGGGGTGCCGCAAACGTTTTTGGTTGTAATGTGGATTTATTGAGAAAAAATATTATACTTTGTTTTACATAATTTCACGACACGTGTTTCTGGTCTGGTCTCGCAACCGTCTTCAGGTGAAAGTGGAGATTTTTACATATTATTAAAAATAATTAATTTTTCTTCATGTTCAATGTGGAATATTCTCGATATGAGACATTCTGTTTGTGTGTTAGCAATCCGAATTTTCTTTCTAGACATATACAGACATATATATATACATACATATATATATATATACATACATATATATATATAATACATACATATGCATATATATAAATACATACATATATATAAATACATACATATAACTACATACATACATATATACATACATATATATAAATACATACATATATATAAATACATACATATATACATACATATATATAAATACATATACATACATATATATACATACATACATACATATATAAAAATACATATATATATATAAATACATACATATATATATACATACATATATATATATACATATATATATATACATACATATATATATATATATATATATATATATATATATATATATATATCCATACACATATTTCATACATATAGTTCACTATATACCACACATATTTCATTTCTGTAGTTCACTGCTACCACCAAGCAGAAAATTATATTTCTCCTGATGATGGCCATGTTGGCTGAAACTAGTCAAGGATTCTAAATGAAATAATAATAAAAACGAAGGAATATTAATATACAACCCAGTGTGTCTAAAGATTTTAATTTTTTAATATTTTTTATTGTTCAATCAATATATTATATTAAAAAAAGAAAGAACAGTAAGATAATCCGGTGTTCTTATTGATATTTTTATTTTTACAACACACACACACACACACACACACACACACACACACACACACATATATATATATATATATATATATAGATAGATAGATAGATATGGTTCGTAAACTACTGGTTTAAATAGTGAAGTCGGTAACGTGCACGTCACCCTCTACATTAAATCTTCTTGCGCAGATTTTAGGGCTCATCCACGGGTGTCCTTGTTGAGTGATTTGTTAAAATCGGGAAAAACCCTCCAAAATTTTCGTTTGCAAAATGAAGTCATGAGGAACAAAAATAAAGAAAAAGAAAAAGAGAAAAAAGTTGAACGAGAAAAAGAGAAGAAAAGAAAAGAAAAAGGTAAGAAAAGAAATAAAGAAAAGAAAAAGTAAAAGAGAAAAAGAAAAAAGGAAAGAAAGGAAAAAAAATAAAGAAAAATGTAGACAAAAAGAACAAGGAAAAGAGAAAAAGAAAAGAAATGAAAAGAAAAAAGGAAAAAAAAAGAAAAAAGAAAAAGAAAACACTTACCGGCTGAGTCGAGACCGAGCATTAGAATTCGATTACTGTCTTTTTTTCGAGTCAACTTTTCGTAAAAGCAGACAAGTTTTGAAGCCATTCGTCTCATTTATATTGTTTTTCTTAATAGTACTTTCCGCTCTACTGTTATCCAAAGCAGTTGCTTCTCACAAGACAAGACTCTTCCTTGTCCTTGTTACGCGTATATTTTTAACAGTTTCCACTTTTTACGTTAATGAATACGGGAATGGTTGATGCTCCTTATATACCGTGCTGAAAAACACAGAAAGTCACGTGACAAACGCCGACCAATCTGGACGTTTTCTATGCCAAAGTCTTTTTCTCATTCACTTTCGTTAATGGAATTTTACGTGCAGATTCTTTCATTATGAGGAAATATTTATTACACTACAGGAAATTCTAGACGATAGCGAAAGAAGATCCAGCAAAAACACCTTCTCAAAATAGCAAAATCACAAAAATAAAGCCTGGAATTTTTTTCTTTTCTTTTCTTTTTTTCATATAAATAAGATTATTATTACACAATATTGGGATTAAATATTTAAAAAAAAAATAGAGTTTAAAAAGATGGTCTGGCGGTTTGATGATGTCCTGTTCAGATTTTTCAACGTATTTAAACAAGCATATATGATAATAAATGCTAACATAGTCTAAAATAATTTTTTATTGTGAGTGAATGGGAGGAGAGAGATCGTCCATTCTCTTATTTCGAATGTAAAAAAAGTGCATACAATAACAAATAAGAAGACTCAAAACATTACGTGAAATTTGAAATCTACAAACATTTATTGCAGATATAAAACAATGTAGCAAAATATAAATTTTACAAAAAAAAAAAATGACTTGTATAATTTTTTTTCATGCGCCTTATTATTTTCGTAACAAAATTACGAAACAAAATTATAGAAATTATTGGCTCTAAAATGATTTACAATACAATTTTTCAAATCATGAAAGAAAGAAACCTTGAGAAAGTGATACGAAAACTATTGGAAAAAAAAGGAAGCAATTAGAAAAAAGGTGCACCTATCTAATAGATAAACGAAAAAAATACTTTAGTTTATCTACCGAGAGTCTCTGGGAAGTTTAACGATATTTTGACAATGTCGTTCGGTTTTCTTTCTGCTTGGCTTCCACGTGTTTCTTTTGCTTTTGCTTATCCCACGGAACGTTCTCTTTGCTGTTGTTCTTTTTCGTCGGCGAAGTTTTTTAAGAATGCCGAAACCTTTCTGCACTCTGTTGGCGATTTTCACACGTGAAAGCCTAAAACCGTTCCGCAGCCACCCGGCCTGATTCGTATCTGACGTCTAATTTCTTCTCCTGCTTCCCTACAGCCAGCCGACCTTCGTCGCATATGAAATCTTAATCCCCTCTGTCGGTTGCTCCCTAACCCGAGTTCTTATATACTTTCGGGGGTGGATCAAACAAGCTTAAACTTTAAATTTACGAGGGTAGAAGCTACCCCATTGGATTGGACAAAAAATACAAGGTGGATGTATTATCTATATTTGAAAAAAAAAATGATCACCAACAGTCAATCAAGACTTAAAAAAAAAAATTGGTGTTCTCTTCTAATTCTAAATAATACAAAAAATCGTTTAAATACAAATCTAACAATTTTTTTTATAAACAGTCTGGCTTTCCCTTAATACATTTCTCTCAAAAGTAAATGTGTAAGAAATCCAGACTAATTAATATTTATTTATTTACACCTTTAAATTAATTATTACTTTTAATTATTTTAACTAACAAATACTACTTTTTTTATAAGTACCCATAAAATGGTGGGATTATTTGTGGGTTAAATGGAGGTGTGTACCAGTTTTATTGTTGTACAATTTTATCAACTTTTAGGAGGTGCTATGATAAGGCATCGAAACATAGATGCATTGATGTATCGGGTACTAAAAAAACATATTGAAATTGATACACAAAAGCTTTAATGTTTCAATACTACGATTGTTGACTAAATGATTTTTAAGGAAATTTAAAAACAAAGTGTTATCTCTCTTCCGAAAGTTAATGGGGGAGACACAAGGTCAGAATTAAAAATAGACTTGTGAGTATGTCTTGATTAACCAATTAAATGTCCGATCTACGCTAAGTAGAAAGTTAGGTCAGAGGATGGAAATGGTGAGTTGTTTTTCATGTCACGATAAACCGAGACATAGACATGTCATCATTGACGATAGCGGAAAATATCATTTAATCACCAGTTATTGCAATAATTCGCCGGAAGAAATACAATCTTCGTATTGAAACATGAAAACTTTTGTGTAGCGATTTCAGAATGTTTTTATTAGAATCTCTTATAATAATAATAATATTTTGCTCTACTTTCTATTGAGCAATTTTTAAAAGTAAATGCTACGAACAGTGGATTTTTTACTCCATCTGTTTTTACTCTCATTTAAATAATATGGATATTTACTTGATTCCCCCCACCACTGAGTCAGGTTGTGACACAAGGTCAGTTTTTAACGTGGGGACCCGAGTGTTTTCACTCGGGCTGCTGGTCTAAGCTGGTCTTAGCTGGTCATAGCTTGTCGAAGCTGGTCAGAGCCAGTCCAAGCTAGTCGTAGCCGTGATACCACCAGCCCAGGGACGAAGCCCTGGGGCCGGGAAGTATCTCATTTGGGTAATATGTTAAATATTTAAACGAAGGATTTTGTTTATCCGTTCGCGATATACGGACAAATCCTTTCGAAATTTAATTTGCATAATTACTGTAGAAATTTTAGCGTCGTTTTTTTTTTTTTTTTTTGTTCATCATGAGGGAGAATTCGCTTTTCTGTTATCCGGAAACATCTTTCGTAATAACAACATTATTCGGTGGAATGTTATAATTTCTGTTTTATTAGTAATCTCCGGTTAAAAAAAAAAGTATATATATTTAAGTGGTTTTAAAATATGTAAAAAAAAACCCCATTTTACAGAACATATGTTCTTTGAAAATATTTGTTTTACTTTTCATAGTAATTGTTCGCTGAAAATTTACCAGAAACAAATAAAATCATTTTTCCCCCTACTAATCGTTATTATGCAGTAGATGACCAGTATTTCGGAAATCTTATATTTCTGATTAGATTTTTTATTCACTAAACCAATATATTTGTATTCGATATTTGCAGATTGCATTAAGATATGGAACAGAGCAGAGATGTATATTTCGAGAATTGGGAAAGGTCTTTGTTCAAAAGCACTATTCACTCTTTGCTTCGCTAAGAGGTTCTTCGTATCCGAAAGGTCAAAGCACGTCGGATCTAATAACGGTTTGCCCTTTGGGGAATGCAGGTTCGAATCCTGCCGGAGAAAGCATATTTTTCTAATAAGATTTTACAAATATTTAGGCCGGTAGATGGAAATAAATAAATAAAAATAAATATAATGTTAAATAAATAAACAGAGCATCTATTCAAATATGGGTATCCCCTAAAAATATGGGTATCCAATATATATATATATATATATATTTTTGCCGTTAACAATAAAATTTAAAAAAAATCCAGACGACATGCATTTAACGGATGTCAGGTGTCATTGAAGAATACATCCCTACCCCTTACCAAAACGTAACTAATAACTGATACATCAAAATACAGCGATAATCAACACGCAAACACCCCTTGTCTAGTTGAAGTGAATTTATCTGTAACCATGGAAACGTGAATTATGATTTTAGTTGTGTCTTTAAAACCCAGTAATTTTAAAAGTTACTCCAAAATTCGCTTGAAAATGAAATGGAACTAATGTCTCTAATTTAATTACAAAATTAAATTCGGACCTTCCATTTTGAAACATGGTTAGAACTGTGTAGCGGAAAAACCATATTTTAAATCTATTAATTTATATATATATATATATATATATATATATATATATATATATATATATATATATATATATAAACTGTACACACACATATATATATATACATATATGTATATTCATTCAAACATTAAATATAACAGACAACGAATGTATATTATTATTTGTTGTCTATTACATAACAATATGTTTGAATAATCATCTGTTGCCCCAATACACTATATATATATATATATATATATATATATATATATATATATATATATATATATATATATAAATAAAAAAGAAAGATCAGTAAGATATATAATCCGGTGCTCTTATAGATATTTTTATTTTTACAAAATAGTGCTCAATGTAAATTTACAGAGCATTAATTGCAAAATTAAATTAGGAGCTTTTAGCTTCCATTTTTGAAACATGGTTTATATCAACAGCTTTCCATACTTCATTCTCCAATTCACTCTCGTGTGGTCATATGTGACGTCATGAGATGCGGTGCGATTTTCGCTTCTAGCGTCTTATATGCGCGTGTTTATAGTTGCTTAGTGATCAACTATGTAAACAATGACAGACTATCATCACTGTCGTGTCCGTATATTGTTTAATATGTTTGTAATTTACATCTTTGAAAATGGCTTAAATAAGCCGAAAGCTTAGATTATATTAAAAAAATATGGATCAATATTGTGAATTTCTTTCTTCGTTTAACGACAATGTTATTAAACTTATCAGATGTTATGAAAAAAATTTACATAAAATAAATAGACAACACTTGTCTATATTATTTAATGAAACGTGTATAAATGAAAATATGCTGCCTAAATACACACAATATATATATATATATATATATATATATATATATATATATATATATATATATATATATATATATTAAACAATCTAAAATATTATTACAGTTAGATATATGTTAAAAATATTCGAACACAGACGGACGCTACTTGTAAACAAACCTCTAAAAACAGTTATTTCTGAAGAAAGATCGAGGTCGATATGAAATATCAAATATAAATAAATATTTTCATAAAAAAAACATTATTATCTTTTTCAATTTGCAACTTTTTAGTTGTCTATCTGATTATCTCTTTATTTATTTGTTTATTCAAGTGTGTGTTTTATATACAAACCGTATTACACTGAATTTCAATTTGTTTTTTGACG